CAAGTTTAAGAGAATTTGACCCTGAAGAGGGCTTACAAAGGTGGCTAGAGAAGTTATTTTAAGAAAGGCCAGGGGGAAGGGAGGCCTTAAAGTCTTTAAGTTCTAAGGGTTGTAAGATGCTTCCTGGAGACTGGTGATAAGGACCAGAGTTGATAGTTAAAGAATGAAAGGGCAGAGGAGAGGTAGGAAAAGTTGCTGGAGTAGGTGAGAGATAACAGTTAAGTATCAAGGGATCTAGAGCAGGGGTGGGGAGAAAGGTGGAGATGGAAGGAACTTCCTTCAGCTGATCTAACCCAGGGCATTCCCTTGCTCAACTCAAAGCCAGGAATTCTACCCAGTGAGAGTGCATGGGGGGAAGGGCAGGAACTTTTGCCTGCCTGCCTGGATTGTCTCATAAACTCACAGCACCACTGAGAGGAATGTTATCACTAACCCTGACTGACCCACAAGGAAATATGGAAGCTCAGAGGGGCTATGTAACTTACCTGAGGTCACACAGATAGTCAAAGGTGGAATCCAGGTCCTAGGTTGGTTGGACCTGGATTACTTAACACTTCACTGCTCTGCTGTAGTTCATCCTATGTCAGAAGTGCTGAGGTCAGAAGCACTTTTGGTCTTTGGGCCCCAAACACAGCCTCTAGTAATACCATACCCTGTCTATGTGTCTGGCACTATTTTAGACATATATGTTCATTTGATAGCAATTCTATGGTAGCCCCTACATTACAGAAAAGAAAACACAGAAAGACTCATCCCATTTGCCTGACATCCCCTGATAGCAAAAAGTGGAGCCTGGGATGAGACCCAGGCTGCCCTCAGCCTATGCTAGCCTGCCTTTCAAACAAGCCCGTGGACCATAGCTGGACGCTCATTACAACAGAGGGGTCTGAAAACAGCTGTATACCTAAGCTCTCAACATTTTAGTCTGAGCTCCCAGTCCTCATTTTTTTCATGTTTATTTTGCTTTTCATGTGGTTAGTCACAGTTTAATCTTCCTCTCCACATTAGGAAGCCTGTTGCTCATTCATTCCGACTTTAGCCATTTGTTAAGTGAGATTCACTGGCTGCTCTGGGGAAGAAGCCAGTTTGGAAATGCTACTGTGCAGATCATACAATAAAACCTACCTACTCTTTGTCATGTGAGTCATTATTTTGGAAAATACAAACTCCTTCCAACCTCTTTCTCACGCACACACGCACACACACACACTCCTGACAGGTTTACCATCAGTCCATGCAAAGGCCGTGTCAGATGGAGGTACAGTTAATTATAAGCCTCTGAGAACTCCCAGCCCAAACCAGAAACCAGAGTGATGACTACTTATGTAAAATGCAAGTTACCATCACTGTTCTAATTACCTCATTGTCTCTTTCTTTGGGATTTTAATCCACCATCACCAGAAGCCAATAAATAATTAAGGTCTTTGGTTCTGACCCTTAGAATAATCTATTCAAGCCCTTGATGTCTTTTTCTTGATCTCCTTCTTGGGACCTAAATCCTATCTTAATAGCATCAAGCTGTTACACCCTATATCCAAAATTCAAAGGGAAAGCCCATCCACAGAAGCTAAGCAGTTCAAAGCCTCACAAAAGTGGGGGTAACACAAACAGTTCCCTCTCTGCCCCTTAGTGGCCCCTGGCTGGAGTGCAGCCTGGGGGGGGGGGGGCCAGGGGTTGTGACTCACTTGGGAACAGGAAAGGTGTTAGTTGGAATCACTGGGTCTGGGCAAGCCCGAGGAATGGGAGCGAGTGTTCCTAGCTAGGAAAACAACGCCCCATTCCAAATGATCCAGAAACGACTTTGGAGATGCAAAACTTGGCTGTGGGGATGAGCAGGAACCATTCCAAGGACCTATTAGGCCCCTCTTCACTTTACGCCACAGCCAGTTCTCTGAAAACAGGACGGATGCCAACCGCTTACCAGAAAGTTGGGCTGATCTTGACTCCAATACAAATCGGCCCTCACAGCCCATCCAGAGTCCCAAGGGTCTAAGGAGTTGTGCAATCCATGTTGCAGATGACAGTAATCAAGAGTTTGAAACAGAGAGGAGGAGCTGGCAGTTTGCTCAGGCATAGACAGGGCAGGAGAAGATAAGCTAAGACCAGCTATGCCTTCTCTCCATGTCACTGCTGTGGAATTACTAGCTACTCCAGGGGATTCCCGGGGGTAGCTTTGTTTAGTGACGGAATGTATAAAGAGGAAGGAAGTGTTTTTTTATGCCGCCATATTGGAGCCACAAAGGAGATCAGCGTTATAAAAACAATGCATCTGATTTTAAAATGAACACAGTTATTGTAATCCCGGTCTGAATACATGGGGTGTGCATAGTGTGGACATGGGAGTAGAGTTCTCTACTTGTCCTTAAGACAAACTTCATGGTGTAAAGCTTGGAAAAGATGTCCAAACAAATTGTGTTAAGGGGTTTTCTGAGGTTTGTTAGCAATGACTTGTAACTGGCTTGCTCAGTAGTTTTTAGTATACACACTGAGGGCCACTGGAGCATTTCTTTCCAATAATAAACAATCCCTAGGCTAAAAAATGCTGAAGGATGCCCCCAAGATAAGCTATAAACACACTAGGCATCTTTACAGAAGGGTCCTCTTCTGGGGTTATATAATGGCCTGTTTTAAACAAGCCCAAACCCAAACCCACTGCCATCGAGTCAATTCTGACTCATCCCGACCCTACAGGACAGAGGAGAACTGTCCCTTAGGGTTTCCAAGGCTGTGAATCTTTCCAGAAGCAGACTGCCTCATCCTTCTTTCTCCTGCAGAGCAGCTGGTGGGTTCAAACTGCTGACTTCTCAGTTAACAGCCAAGAGCTTAACCACCGTGCCACCAGAGCTCCTATTTCAAAGAAGGATGGTAGAAAAGAAGGTGACAGGATGAGAACAAGGACCCATTTTAAAAATATATAACACTAAAAAGACTCTACCACCCACCAGTAAAGTTGTGGCAATCACCCTACTTTGTTCCAGCACCTTCAAGAAAGATTTTATATTAACTCTAAACTGAGAAGAAACTCCACAACACTTGTTTTGTTAGATTGTTTGAGGTGAGTCTAAAGGACTCTGAGCTGACTTTGTACTTTGTATGTCATTTTATTTCATTCAATATTGTTGTTGTGTGCCTTCGAGTTGGTCCTGACTCAGAAACCTTATATGACAGAGCACAATTGCCCTGTAGGTCGTACTCTTTCTCAGAAGACTACTCTAAACTCTTTAAGGAAGACATGCTTGAGGGGAAAAGTGTTAATGGATGTAGATCTTCTGAGGTTAAGAAGAATGTTGTTTGTTTTTAAATAAAGCCTAGAGCTCAGCCACAATTCCCAACCCTTTCTTCCTATTGTCACTCTGTCAGCCCATTAAGGGATAAGCACTCCAACTTAGTAGTAGGGTTGCAAGACAGGAGAGCTTGGGAAGAGATCATTGACATGTTTTATACATCTGCTATGCACCACCACTGTCAGTTTGTCCTGCTGTGGTGACTTAGGTGTTGCTATAATACTGGACGCTATGTCACCAGTATTTCAGATACCAACAGCGTCATCCATGGTAAATAGGTTTTGACAGAGCTCTCATACTAAGACAGACCTGTAGGAAGAAAGTAGGAAGAAAGTAGGAAGAAAAGAAAAGAAAGTAGGAAGAAAGTAGGAAGAAAGGCCTGGCTGTCTATTTCCAAAAATCAGCCACTAAAAACCCTGTGGACACAACAGAGTGTTTCCCAGGATGGTACTTGTCTTAGTCTGGCTTCGCTAGAGAAGCAGAACCAGGGAAGCCTAGAGAAAGAGAGAAAGGAGACAATTATCTCTAGAAAATGGCTCATGCAGTTGTAGAAACTGGCAAGTCCCAAGTCCGCAGGTCAGACGTTAGCCTGGGGGCTTCTCCCCACTCACACGGCTGCAGGGGCCGAGAAGCCAACAATCCCAAAATTAACAGGCAATTTGGCAGGCCACTGATTCAAGTCCACGTGATGATTTGTCAGTTGCAGGGTCCAGAATGAACAATAACCCAAAAATCTTTCCCAAGACATCTGTACAAAAAAACCAAACTCACTGCCGTCGAGTCGGATCCGACTCATACCGACCCCTCTTTGAGTTCCCAAGGCGGTATCACTACGAAAGTTGATTGCCCAGTCTTCCTTCCAAGGGGTGGCTGGTGGGTTTGAACCACCGGCCTTCTGGTTAGCAGTCACATGCCTTAGGCACTACATCACCAGAGCTCCTGAGACATCCATAGATATTGGTAATAGGCTATACCAAGGAAATTCCCTTTCAAATGATTGGCTGTCACAGTAGATCTCACCCTGGAGGTGACTACATACATCGGATCTCATTATGGGGAATGACTGTATCATAACTGCTAAACCACAGAGAATCATGGCCGAGCCGAGCTGACGTACTCCCTGAACCATCAGTGCTGTTTCCACCTTTTGGACGTTGTGCATTGTGCTGCAATGAACACGGGTGTGCAAGGATCTGTCTACAAGCAACACTAACATTTATTTAATGTTTTCTATGTGGCTGGTGCTGTGCAAACAGGCACCTTGGTGGCACAGTGGTTAGGCACTCAGCTGCTAACTAAAATTTTAGCAATACGAACCCACCAGCCACTCTACCGGAGAAAAAGGATACAACCTGCTTCTATGAAGATTTCATCTTGGAACCTTTATGTGGCAGTTCTGATCCATCCTAGAAGTTTGCTGGGAGCCAGAATCGACTTGATAGCAATGAGTTTGC